CAGCCAAATCAATAAATTCAGGTGTTCCAATCACTTCCATGGCCACAGGTGTATAAAACCAAGCACATAGGCATGGAATGGGTCAGTCTCAGGAGCTCAGTGAATTCCAGTGTGGTACTGTGATCGGATGACAGCTGTGCAACAAGTCCAGTCATAAAATTTCCTCTTTACTAAATATTTCAAGTCAACTGTTAATTGTATTGTAACAAAGTGGAAGTGATTGAAAAAACAGCCACAAAGTGGCAGGCCAAGTAAAATGACAGGGCAGGATCAATGGATGCTGAAGCACATAGTGCGCAGAGGTCACCAACTTTCTGCAGGGTCAATCACTACACACCTCCAAACTTCAGATTAGCTCAAGAACAGCGCTTCATGGATTGGGTTTCCGTGGCCGAGCAGCTGCATCCAAGCCTTACATTGCCAAGCGCAATGCAAGGTGTCAGATGCAGTGGTGTAAAGCATGCAGGGTAGACGTGTTCTCTGGAGTGATTTATTATGCTTCTCCATAGGGCAATCAGATGGATGGGTCTGGGTTTGGCAGTTGCCAAAGAACCTATTTGTCTGACTGCATTTTGCCAAGTGTAAAGTTTGGTGGGGTTTTTTCAGTGTTTGTTCTCTGTCCTGTAGTTCCAGTAAAAACAACTCTTAAAGCTTCAGCACACCAAGACATTTTGGACAATTTCATTATCCCAACTTTGTACGAACAATTTGAGAATGGACCCGTCCTGTTCCACCATGACTGTGCACAAAGCAAGTCCTGACCTCAACCCGGCTGAACACCCTTGGGATGAATTAGAGCAGAAACTGTGAGCCAGGCCTTCTCATCCAACATAAGTGTCTGACCTCACAAATGTGCTTCTAAAACAATGGTCAAACGTTCCCACAAACACACTCCTGAACCTTGCAGAAAGCCTTCCCAGAAGAATTGAAGCTGTTATAGCTGCAAAAGGATGGGCTGCCATCATATAAAACCCTATGGATGAAAAATGGGATGCCATTCAAATTCAGATTTAAGCATTCTAGTGTATCAGCGCCATCTATACAATAAAAATAAAAACCAAAGTAAAAACCCACAAGCATCATGTTGCTCATGATAATGAAAAACTGAAGGTTCCGCTATGTTATAGTACATAAACTAGGTGAATTTTGCTCAACCACAGTTACAGCAAAAGGGTTCACACAATGAAGCATTTGTTATAATAGTCCAATGTGCTAATAATATCATTTTCAAAGGGAGACAATTTTCTATATTGTTGCAGATAACTGATTATTTTTTCACCGTTGTTAGATACATTATTATTATTAAAGTATAGATTAGAGGTGCAAACAAAGGCAATACTTTGAGCGGTTTTAATAAATACTCCTTTCAACAGCTTTCTTTAGAGGCTCTATTTTGTTCCTTACCGCATTCAGCTGCAATAATGGGAAGAATTGTCAGTGCCAGTTCTTTTGTAAGGATCACAGTCAGTCACTAATCACAAATACAACACTGATCTAGTCTAAAGAGACTGCTACAACTCTGCTGCTACCTGCTACAACTCTATCAAACACAGGGCACTACATTGTGGCCATTGTGTCTCCTGCTTTATTTGTATTTTGATGTGGAAATGAGTTTGGCCAACCTTACAGTGGTACAGACATTCTAATCTTTACTGTAATTTTAATGTATTATAAAGTCTACACCCACAGTTTTAGTGGTTATTTGTACACTTCTCTGTAAAAACAAGACACCCCAGATAATACTGTATAGTGTTAAAAAATGTGTATTTGTACTCCATATCGCCATGATAATTATAGCAGTCCGTGATGACTAATTGGTGCTAAAGGAGACTATAATGGGATTCTGTAGGAGTGTATATAATGTTCTGAACTTATTTGCATACAAAAAGGCCCTGGTGGATTTTTAAAGTGCTGTGATCCGACTGTGGCTTTCTTTGAGGGACTGCTAAGTAAAGAATAGCTATTTGTATCAAATGAGTATCTGCGGCACTTGAAATTCTTCTGCAGTCACACAGGTAGCTCCAGTCAGCGGCCTTTATAGTACTCACGCCCGTATGATGAAACCAAGCATTACACAGTCAACTACCCCTCCTTAGCAGCTGGTTTACAATCTTTCCCACACCCCACAAAACACGAGGAAAACAACATTACATAACGCTGAAGTTGGAGCTAGAGATATAACTGTCGAATGAGGGGGTGGTGGGGGATCCTCAATATTTAACACACCTCATCCTACATTCACTTTGACTTGGGCCGAGGAATAACCTTCTGATCTCATCCATCAAAGGTTACTCAGCCAGTCACCTCACATCTCCCTTTATACCCGAGTCTAATCGGCACTGATTGGCTTATGAAAACCCTAATCACTGAAAATTACTTTCAGTGTGATGCCGGTATGTGTGAGTTCTGAATAACTTTAAAATGACGAGTGACTCCAGGAGGGTTTTTCTGTGCCTACTTGATTTTAAGTAGCTGTGCACAGTCACTCTATATGGATGTGGTTTTGAAAACTAATGAGACAGAGCAGAAAGCTCTCCTCCACAAAGACGGGGACAGCCAAATCCCTGATGAAAAAACATTACAATGTTCTTGTTGCAAACCTCACAAGCACGGCCTATATACTGTGTATGACACCTCAATCTGGACTTTAGTTGTTCTTGAAGGCATCTTTATCCATACGCCAACTATATTATGTCCGTGTAAACTGATATGGAGTTAGTGACCTTATTCTTTTTAACAGTTTTAGTGCCTCATATTAGCCTTGTCAACTCAGTGGAGAGGACTCATATAAAGGTTTGGACCCAGGCAATCTCATTCCAAGTCTGATATTGCTAAAGGACAACCGCTAATGCATCCAACTAACTCGGCTGTGAACTCATCATTTTATCTGAAGGTATTATGTAATATACTTCATGTTTCATCTGTCTCATACCGTTGTCTGCTATTAAAGAGTTATTTCAGTGACTAAATCATGGTTAACATTTTCACCTGCATGGCTCAGTGGATAGCAAATTTAGCTTGTCAACCACTGTGACTCAGATGTGTTCTTTTCTTTTTAGCAAACAATCATGGACCCCAGAGGATGGGAAACCTCATGATGTTTTATCTTAACACCACTTTGTGTTTGACCTTTGTAGTTTTTGGTTAATTGATGTAAAATTTTGGGGAGATATCCACGGATCCCAGTGGATCTTAATGGCTTTGATCCTTCTCGGTCTGGATCATAGTTTCTACTTAATCAGTGAAACACAGCAACATACATGGGAAGGGTGAGCAGATAGTCATGGTTCCCAGAAAATCCAGAAAATGCATCCTAATAACTCTGGTAATTAGCTGGCAGCAACACAGTGCATTTAGGCATGCAGACACGGCATGTGACCTGCTAAAGATCACACTGAGCATCAGCATGGGACATAAAGGTGATTTAAGTGACTCGAACGTGGCTGGTCTCAGTAATTCAGAAACTGTTGATCTACTGGGATTTTCCCACACAAGCATTTCTAGGCTTTACAGAGAATGACCTGAAACCGAGAAAAAGATCCAGTGAGCACCGGTTCTCTCACCGGTGAAAATACCTTGTCAATATCAATTGTCAGCAGGGAATGTCCAGACTAGTTTGAGCTGATAGGAAGGTAAAAGTCACTCAAAGAGAATTTTACAGCCAAGGTTTGCAGACGAGCATCCCCAATGAGACATGGAATCGTGATGGGCAGCAGAAGACCATGCCGCGTAGCAAAGTGTAGTTCAATTGAGGTGAAAGACAAAAAGCAAACTGTGCTGACTGCAAACTGATGCAAAAACTAGACGACAAAAAAAAAGAAAAGAAAGGGACAAATCTTGAAGAGATACAATAAAACTAGCTGAAAAACGCCAGATGCCAAGCTGAAACGCTTGGCATCTGGGTTGAATAAAGACAATTGGGCACTGAACCAAAGAGAAACAGGGGAGGTGACTGATTAGATGACTAAACAAAGGCAATACTAATTGGGGTGGGGAAAGTAATCAAAAGGCAGACAAAGAAAGTAAGTATGAAAACAGGGGCACAAGAAGAAGGGAACAGAGTAATCTGGGAAATGACAAACAGAGAGACACAGATAAGAAAACAGGAGGCGAGTGGAAAGAGAAAACATAAGGGAAGAGAACTAGGAAATAAAGCATGATCTTAGATCAACTAGAACCCGAATCCAGGACACACTTAATGTGAATAATATTAGTCTTTTACTTTCACTCCACACAGAAGGCTTTTTGACTTCACATACTGCAGATAATGAAACACGCTGACTTGATGAGTGTCTGTGTCCTAGCAGTGACCGCATTTTATCGGTGCTCCCAAAAAGACTTTGCCAGTTTATAGTCACACAAATCTCAATTATACTTGTAACACTAATTCTTATAATACTGTTATTCAGACACCTGCTGCCATACCTATTCTAATTGAACCCTCCCTCAATTCCCCCCTTTCCGGTGTTGATGTGCTACTAAAATTTCCTGCGGAAAAACTGTAACACTTTTAAATAAAAAGGGGGCAAACACACTAAATGACAGGACAGGAGGGGCCCGAAACAGATGGCTGTTCCCTCTACATAAATAAATTGACCATAAATTCAATTCATTTCTCCCTGGTGTGTGTGTGTGTGTGTGTGTGTGTGTGTGTGTGTGTGTGTGTGTGTGTGTGTGTGTGTGTGTGTGTGTGTGTGTGTAAGTGTGAGTGTAAGAGAGAGAGAGAGAGAGAGACTTAGAGAGCTTATAAGCAGGAGGAGACTTTTTCTTTTTGTGCACAGTCGCACTGAATTAAATCAAATTGAACGTTTCTTTATCACATCACGACCAATGAGGCTAATTCCAAATGATTTTCTGTTTAAGAATTGGCAGTACTGTCTATTGTAAGCTATACAATACTGGGATACTGGTTTCCTACTTGTCACTCCAACATATTAGAACTGAACAGTGATTGATAGAGCAAGGAGAATAGGAGAGAGAGAGAGAGAGAGAGAGAGAGAGAGAGAGAGAGAGAGAGCGAGAGGTGGTTAAGCCTATCCGGAGGAAGAAGCAACTAGCCAAGAAGCCTCAGCAGTTACACTTGCCAAAACGGTTCCATTTAGCCAGCAGGCTACACTTGCAGCATTCACCGTTTAAATGTGAATGAACAATTTTGCATACGTGTTCGAGCCACAGTCGCTCCGCGTCTCTTCCTGTCTGCGCTGTGCTGGAGAGGCAGCTGGGAATAGGATTTTCTTTAACATAACTTAACGGCGGCAGCAGTTGTTGGACCGGCATTTTTCTTTTTTTCTTTTTTCTTTTTTCCCCGGCGCCTCCTCGCAGCGGATTTACAAAGCCTCTCCGGAACCCGCAATGAAATTCAGCACCCTGGACAGAGACTAAGCGTTTCAGCACCCGGGGCAGCGATTCACCGTCCAGTGGAGGTAAGCCAGCAGGAGTTAGCAGAAGCCCTTCTGCCTTGTATCTTCACGGTGGTGACGGGAAAGAGCAGGTTAAAAGGAGACCAAATGACTCCTGAACGTGCTATCACTTGTCTCAGCGCTGCTTCGGAGCGGGATGTGCGCACATGCCAGACATTGAAACGGTGATGCTGAGAGGTTGAAATCACAGAAAGCACAGTTTCCTCGCTAGTAAGTTTAGAAAAGATTGGTAGGGGTAAAGCTTTCCCAGTTCTGCCACTTTCTCTCGTTCTTGTTCAGACTCTTTTTGGGGGGCTTATTTTAGGCGCTCCTTTAAAGGAATTCGTGCTATGTGTGTGCGTGTGTGTGGTGTGTGTGTGTGTGTGTGTGGGGGGGGGGGGGGGAGGGGGGGGCGGGGGGGGCTAAAGTAATTGCAAGCATTACTTGTTTCTACAGCTATTTGAATGATTGATTTGTCGCCATGGCTTCGATAAGCAGGGGTTTCCGTCCCCCCCCCTCCCCCCCCTCACCCCGCCCGTTTCCATTTAAGGCAGCTGTTTATTTTGAAGAGTCAGCGCGTGCCCGGGCGGCAGCGGCTCGTGCCTCCGGTCTGCGCGGAAAATCAGTCCATCCGTGTTCAGAGGCCCCCAACAGCCTCCGCACCCAACACACACACACATAGACGTTCACACCGCCCCCACAGCACGCGACTGTTAATCCTCACGACCCCTGTGCTTTCCCCACCTCATCGATATTTGAGCCTTTCTATTTGATAATGGGCACAAGAAAGAAAGGTGCTCCTCCCTTTTAGCACACACGCATTTACTTCAATATTTCTTTCTTTTTCGGAGAGAACAAGCCTCGGTTTCAATTTCTCGCCTCATTTCTGAGTTTTTAAAGCCACCAGCCGTGGCTTTAACCCGATGACTCCAAAGGTTAATCTTGCAGGTGTAACCACTGTGAAGCTTCAGATGATTAAAGTGTGTGTTAGGCCGTATAGTTATAGGTGTGTGATAACCAGTTCCTTTAGCTACCAGTCAGAACTATAGTTTGGTAATTATTGGAGTGTATATAAGAGGACAAAATCAGTCCACGAGCTCAAACTGTAAACCTTTGAAGTTTGAATACATGCTGTTTTCCTGTTATTGTATGTCATGTAACAGTAAGATGTTATTTGGGGGGTGGACTGTGTCTGGAGCTGAGACTAAAAGGACCTTTTTCATAAACTTTCTTACGCCTCATAGATTAAAACAATGAGCATATTAATCATTAACCCACTCATGAATAAAACCCACAGGCCTTGTGTCAAGTGATAGCAAATATTGTCACATTAAAGGTTTTCTCTTTTTTTTAAATACCCATTTAATCTAAGCAGCACATTAGCCATTGCTGGGATTAACCACGTGACCTTTTGGTTTCCAGACTGGTGCTTAAACTTGATGTGACCACCCAGCTTGTTCACTCCATGCCTTGCTTGATCTGTCGGCTGCAGCTCTTTTGCACGAAGAAATTAGCTTTCAAAATGTGAAAGAAGAAAAATGCCAGTGTCAGGGCTGCTTTGAATAAGAGGTGACCCCTGTGGTTTTTGGTGGCTTTTTTTTTTTTTTTTTTTGCCTGCGGCACTCCAACAGGCTCTGATAGCCCTTCAGACACACTCTCACACACATGCATACGCTCTAACTGTGTGTAAACTCACAGTGATGTAAGCCTCAGTTTTTAAAGCCTTGATTTTAATGATGTTCATTAGGATTTTGATTACACTGAATGTGCGATAACTCTCGGCACTGCGTTAAGTGTGTCTGATATGTCGGCTCAGACTCTGAGTGACAAGAATTAAGTGGGAGGAAGCAAGAAGTGTGAATCACAGCGGAGATGTTGCCACGGGGCTCCACTCCTGTGTCCTTGAAAGAAAGAAAGCATATATTGATATGCCAGTGTTGCCTCTGGGTTATTAAGCTCTGGGCACCACTGTATAGAAATTGCTGCTCTATATCATTGGGATGAACTAAATGCAAATTAATCTTTCATGCTCAATTTATTATCCAATAAACAGACCATGAATTTGAATTTTAATAGTGGCCCTACAGAGGGCACACCCCAGAATTGCCTTTTACCTCTCTGTAAACTGCATTTATTTTGTGAAAATTGCAGTGGCTGCAGTGAACATGAGATGCTCTGAGTTCAGGGCAGTTGTCCTGAGGCATTTCATTTTCTTGTATCATGAAAGCAGTGCCAGTTTAACATTCATTTCCCACCTAGAGGCTTACTTCTCAACTGGGGTTGTTCACACTGTCTCAAACCATGCCTCATTGAGAAACATGGCACGGCACAACCACAGCCTTAGGGTCAGCAGTTGGGAGTTCACACTGGCATCCACAACACAGCTTGTTGATGGGCTTTGCTTTAGATTTTTCTTCTTTTTTTCTTTTTTTGCATTACATAGATTGCAGAACCGCGTTGCTTTTCATGAGTATGCATTTTACATGCTTATTGCACAGTGGATCATGTTTCTGCATGCCCGGAATTCCATTTGTGGAGTCTCTTAAAATTCAGGCCTTTGCTAGAAATGCAATTAGATCCCATATTGCTATAAATACACGATGGGCCGATCTGAAGGCCACCGAACAGGCAGAGGCAGTGAACACCCACTCACCCTCCTCACTCCACATCACTCCCCCTTCCTAATCGAAATCCTCTCCCCCTCACCCCGCCACATGGTGAGTTGTGGGCAATTTGAATGGTCAGCAGAAGACAGTCAGGAAGCAATGGCTGTCACACAGAATACTGGGCCACAGTGAGCCTCATCAGTATAAAATCTACGTGTCCGCAGAAGTGTGGTTATTCCCTCCTAGGTGTGTTTCTTTTGGTCCTGTTGCAGAGATAGAAACTGGATTCATGAGCGTGCTCTGTCTTTCCTGTGCTAGGCTCTACTGGGCAAAGCGTGCTACGCTAAACTGTGTGGTTCTGTGTTGTGCCTTGCTTTGCTGTGTTCAGTGTCGTTAGCCGAAACACAGCTGCTATTGCATCTGATGCAGTGAGCACACAGCTCGTCTCACCGGTTCCCTGCCACTGGTTTTGTACTCCAGTATCGCTATGCTTCGGAGGGCTATAATCTCACTGACATAATGGCACCCACTCCAATCAATAGCCAAATGGCACAGTGAATCGATAGCTACAATACTGTACAATAACGTGGCCTGGGAGAGACAGAGGGGAAAAGCAGCATGCAGCCATCGTGTTTAACTCTGAAAAACCCTTTGAATATATACTCCTTAATTATGGATCAAAAATACCAGCCTTGTTAACGATCCATGCATTATGGATTGCTGCATGACCTACGCTAATATAAGCACAGCAGTTGGAAAAATACTGGCACCACTTTCCAGGCTTGCTTTCCTCACTCTCTAATCACCACATCCCACACACAAACAGCACAAAACTGGAGCCTGAACTACTGTAAAATATAAAAGTTTGCACAGAGGAAAGTCCTGAGTAAATATTCATCATTTGTCGTACTTGGAAGCTTTTTTTTTTTTTCAGATTTTCTTGAAAACACAAACCAGTGGGTGTCAATATTAGGCAAGGGGAAAGCGTTCACACATTTAGCCTTTTCAATTAACAGTTGTTGGTTTTCCCTGAGGACCCAGAAAATTCATTTGGTTTTTAAGTATTAGTCAAGCTTTTATCTAAACCTAGCTTAAAGAACTGTGCGATGGGGGGAGTATGGAGTATATTCAGAGGTTTATCTGATAGAATCCAGCTAGTATTTCAAACTGTAGAAAAGGCGCCTTTAAATGATCCAGTTTTAAACGTTTTGTCTGCACCGTTCTCAGAGATAATGTTATGCACAGAGAAAAAGACCAAGACGGCTCTGGGAAGAATACAAATTGCAAAGGTAACTAGGTAAGGGTCACAGCTAGAGCTAAATAACGGCTGTTATTCCAGCAGAGAAGCAAATTGCCCTAAATGGAAGATAAGAAGTTTATCTTTCTGTCTGTTCCACACTTTAACACTGCTAGAACCAAGATATGATTAGATCCAGCCTTTAAAAAAATCACTGCCACCCTAAATGGCACTTTCTCTGTTAGAGGGCAATTTGGCAATCTGCTCAGCATCTCATAAAGCAGCTACACTGGACGTTTATAAATCAAAGACTTCAAATCTCAGAGTGTGGCTGGAGGAGAAAACAAATGTACCCATGTGAATTTTTAAACAATCACTCCAAGCTTTGTTGTGGTAGCATAAAATTCCACCTGCACCATCCGTATGGTGGTTAAAGATTTTATTTTAGTTTTTTTTTAATCTCTGCTTTGACTGTGGATGTTTTTTTTGCTCGCAGCTCACTAATTTGCTCCAGTGGAGGATTGTTGACCAAAAAAAACATAAAGGGACCTGTAGCAGGAGCAGAATGCAAATCTGCCTCTTGTCCTGCGTATATACAGAAATGTTTGGCATGTCATTACCACAAATGTCACCATGTAACTAGCAGCTAGTGCTGTTCCCCTCATGCAACGGCATGCACAGCACACCTACATTTTTTAATGCCACCCATATACCCACCCACGCCCCGCATATACACATGCTTGCGCACTGAATGCTTTAAAGAGAGTGTGATTGTGCGGGTATATAGAAGTGAAATATTGGAGCCATTGCAGCCCTCCAGGCATGCAGTTATCAGGGATATAGAACTGATGGGAAATCAATCAGCTCAAGTGGAGTGGCCTGGCCTGTGCTGAAGAGAATCTTGTCTTTTTTTAGGTGCATGCCTTGATGTCTGCAGCTTACGTTCTAACCATGGGTAGATGTAGAGAGATTTGTTCTAATATATGGTTAAGTATGGTCAACAGTGGTTAGAAAGGGCCAAGAACAGATTGTGGTTTGGGTAATAATGTGTATATGTGAAGCTTAAATAATTATTGGTCTTTCCCAGAAACAGGGGTGGAGGTACTAATGTTGTTTACTGCTACAAGACCTCAGGGGAGCAGAGTGGATGTTGGGGGCATGTCTGTTTTTTTAGAAGACAA